CGGGTCGTCCCTGGCCCGTGGCCGGTGAAAACTGATATAAATTAACAGTGAAAATTAAAATGCATTCCCTTTCACTGCAATTACTGGAGGGACTGATGGCTAAAGTAAAACGAGAGTTTGATACTTCACCTGCTGGTGCCAGGTCAACTTGGAGAGGGCCCATCTTTAGTGAATGAACTCCTGTTCCATCCACATAAACCAGAGGGGCCCTCTTCTAGGTGGGCTCTGTGCCGTTTGGGTTTTGACGCACAGATCAGGAAAAAAAGAATGGACACCTTTTTTTTTTTTTTAAGATTTTTATTTATTTGACAGAGAGAGAGAGAGAGTACAAGCAGGAGGAGTGGTAGGAGGAGGGAGAAACAGACTCTCCCTGAAGCAGGGAGCCCAAGACCCTGAGATCATGATCTGAGCCAAAGGCAACAGCTTAAGGGACTGAGCAACCCAGGTGCCTTGGAGACTTTTTTTTTTTTTTTTTTTTTTTTTTAACATAGATTTGGAGAGGCAAGTGGGCAAGCCTGGCTTTCAGTCCGTGCTTACAGCTAAAGCCAGTGAAGGCAAATGTGACTTGATAAAACAGGGACTTCCTGTTCTTGACCTAGAGAAAAGAAGTGGGAAAAGCAAAGGCGAGGCCAGGGAGGGGTGTCTGAAGCTTGCAGACAAGGTAGAGCTGAGCCCAGCACCTGCCAATGGGGAGATCACTTCCCTATTTCCTAAATGTTATTTTTCCAGGTACCTTGAGGGATCCATCCTTTACCTCCCACCTTTGACCCAGAGTCCCCCCCCCCAGGGCCAGCCACTGTCTCGCTAAGATCACGAATTTTCTAACTGCACAGCAGCGTCTCTGAGTTTCCCTCTGCTCTCCTGTCAGTGAGGCAAAGGTAGGCAGACCATCTCATCATTGTCCAGAGCACTGGGGACTTGAAACCATAACTCCCGGGACCTTTCAGAGCCTGCAGGCCGGCCCTCAATTAGAGGTAGAAAGACTGAAGCAAGTCTTTTCCAGTGGGTTTATTTTTATCGCTGTCCTTTCATTGTTTTGGGTTTTTTCCCCCTTTCCTGGGGGCATTGGAGAAGGGGGCAAGGAAAATGGGGCCATTTGGCTGTGGGATCTAAGCAGTCAGAAGCTAGTCTTAACCTTCTCCATCACAGAGCCAGCAATAATACAGCATAACTTATGCAAAGTAATATTAATATTTTTCTGTTTTAAATTTGTTATTAGTAGAATTAGGATGGCAGCCTTTATCTACCTTATTAAGGAAACAGATAATTACAGTTTTTTTGATAATTATAGTTTTAAAAGTGTCTTTTTTTTCTGTAAAGCAAATGTACTTGCCATGCACATTACATGTTGTATGTTTACAGTGATATTTGCATCAGCTGGGGATACCTGCTTTTTGGGAAGAGGGGGAATTTTCAGGTCACTGGTGATCAAGCAGAAACTGTGGAAAGCTGCTTTCTAAAAAGGACAAGTCTTGGGTTTTATTTCAGAAAAGAGTGTTTCTGCTGGCTGGCCAATCATCTCATCAATATCCCTCGTATTTCTCAAGCAAAGGGATAAGATGCCTTTCTCACTGCACAGAGACCCCCTAGACTACCATTTCGTATCTTTTCCCCCTTTAGACCTGCTCTTGATATTTTAAAAAACCTAATCTTATCTCTCTAAAGATGTGAGGGAAAGGAGAGAGGGGAGACATAAAGTGTGATCTTCCCTAGTCCCGAGTCCCTAAAAATGGCCCTGGAGGGGAAGCACACCATGTATAACCGAACTTGGGAGATAATCCACCAAGATTAATCACCATGCAGGATGCAACTGGATGTACCTAAAAAAACCAGTGAAACAAACATCACAAAGCCAGAGGGAAGTAAGACAGTGTCAGTCAGTGGAGCAGCCTTGGCAAGACGGGTCAGCAGAGCCCACAACAGCAATGCGAGACGAAGAACCGGCCACAGGTTTAGTGGCCACAGGTTTATGCTTCAGAGAACATTATTAAAATAAAGAAGGAAATTTCCTAAAAGAGGGTACATTTGGATAACTGCAACAGACCTTGATTTGGTTTGTGACAGCAAGTGATCAAAATACCCGAGACTAAATTAAGAAGTGTTTTTTTTTTCTGGACGCCTGGGTGACTCCATCGGTTACGTGTCTGCCTTCAGCTCAGTCCTGATCTCAGGGTCGTGGGATTGAGTCTTGCATCAAGCTCTTTGCTCAGTGGGGAGCCTGCTTCCTCCTCTGCCCCTGCCCCTGCTCGTGCTCCCTCCTTCTCTCTCTCTGACAAATAAATAAAATCTTAAAAAAAAACCAAAACTGCTTTTTCCTACTCAGACCCCTACTTATTGAGTAATTCTTAAAATTCAGTCAGCAAGAAGTTTCTCCCTTTCAAACCCTATACTCGTTAAGTTCAAGCGATGAGAAAAGAAAATTAGCACCACTTTTAGAATAATCAAATCTGTTTTTCGGAGAAAGACAAATACTAAAAGATCTGACTTACATGTGGAATCTACAAAAACCCCAACAAAACAAAATCAAGCAAGGGGCGCTTGGGTGGCTCAGTGGGTTAAATCCTCTGCCTTTGGCTCAGGTCATGATCTCAGGATCCTGGGATGGAGCCCTGCATTGGGCTCTCTGCTCAGCAGGGAGCCTACTCCCCCTGCCTCCCTGCCTCTGCTTCTCTCTGCCTGCTTGTGATCTCTGTCAAATGAATAAATAAAATATTTTTAAAAAATCAAGCAAAATATGTGAATACAGAGAATAGATGGGTGGTTCATAGAGGTGGGGAGGTGCGTGTGTGAAATGGGTAAACGGAGTCAAAAGGTACAAACTTCCAGCTATAAAACAGATCGGCCACAGGCATGTAATGTACAGCATGGGCACTATATGGTCTATTTGAAAGCTGCTAAGAGTAAATCTTAGGAGTTCTCATCACAAGAAAAAATCTGTAACTATATATGTGATGGATGTTAACTAGACTTATTGTGGTGATCATCTCACAATATATACAAATTTAGGATCATTATGTTGTGAACTAATATAATGTTGTATGTAAGTTATACCCCAATAAAAAGGTCAATGTTTCTTTCTCTTACAGAGGTGTATTGACAGATACAAAAGTTGTCTATCCATATTATTTGCATTAGTTAGACTGTGCAACATAAGACTAAAGGTTTCACTTTACTAGATAGTACGTAAGTATAAATATCTCAAAACTCATCAAAAACAGTGCAGTTTTCAGGATCTCGAAGATAGGGGAATGTCTCTGACTGTATTGGAGGAAGTGTCTAGTACTCTTATTTGACAGTATAAAGCCCATATCTAGGGTATCTTGGGGGAGAACATCACACCAACTTTGGTTGACAGATACACAAAGGAGAGAAAAATAATTCCCCCTAAGGTTTGGGTTTGGTACTAGGATATTAGTGGGTTTCTAAAGTTGAAAGCATTTTAAAATGTTGGCTCCTCTAACTTTTTTACCCTGAGACTGTATTTACATGTGTTGTGTAAGAGCCACAAAGTACCCCTTTTTAATTACATAAGAGCTTGGGACTAAGTTGGATATAATGGCGATTTCTGTGTGGCCCGGAGCCGGCTTGGGGGCATGGAAGGAGGCAAGCTTACGGTTGTTGGTGAGGTAGTGTGGAGGAAGGAGGGTGGGAGACGGGCAGGCATAGGAAGAACATAAAATTGTATCCTTTGCACAGGAACACCTGTGAAACAAACAGCAGTAGAGTGAGTGGACAAATCAGAAGTAAATGCCGGTAAAGACTGAATCCAAAGAATGGAAATCTTTGCGTTTTCCCTTTGCATCAGTACTTGGTTCTGGTTTGGTTCTTTAAAGTCAACTCCTGCTCTCACCCTCCATCCTCTTCCTCTCACCTCCTTATTACTCAAGTCTTAGTAACTGTAGACAAGCCGCGTGTCCAAGTTGTGAGGAAAGGGCCAGTGGCCTTTTAGACTGTTTTCCTGAGAACGTTCATATCCTCCTTTAGGAAAGATTCAGACTCGTTAAAGAGAAGCTTAGACCCAAAATGTTTCTTGGAGCTGCTTAGTTCTGTTGAATAAAGAGGCATCCTCCATTTCTTTCTTTTTTTTAAACTTTTTAAATTTTTTTTTTTTTTTAGAGATTTTATTTATTTGATAGAACACAGCAAGAGAGGGAACGCAAGCAGGAGAGTGGGAGAGGGAGAAGCAGTCTTCCTGCTGATCAGGGAGCAGGGAGCCTGATGTGGGGCTCAATCCCAGCAATCTCCACACTGAGTGCAGAGCCCGACATGGGGCTTGATCCCAGGACCCCTTGATCATGACCTGAGCAGAAACCAAGAGTCAGACACCTAACCAACCAAGCCACTCAGGTGCCCCAGCACAGTGAGTTTTAAGTAGACTTCTAGAACTGTCCAGTTATGACAATAATACAATTTTCCATGACACTCCCCCAAAATCTGTTATGTCCATGTGCAGTCAGTCTCTATTCCTACCCCCAGCTCCAGGAAACTACCAGTCCTTCTTTAATACAGCCTTTTCTGGACATTCCATGTAATAGAATCATACAATATTTGTTTTTTTTTTTTTTTTGCATCTGGCTTATTTGATTTAGCATAATATGTCTGTGATTCCTCTTTGATGCAGCATATATTAATACTTCATTCCTTTTTATTGTGCAAGTAGTATTCCATATGTGCACTCACCACGTTTTGTTTATCTCTTTTCAGATAACAGACATTTGGATTGTTTCCACTCTGGGGCTCTTAGGATAATGCGGCTATGCACGTTCATAGATGTGTAGAAAAAAAAAAATCCATTCTTTATGTCTTTGAAATGCTATTAAGGTTTATTTAATAATTATGTATCCTTATACTAAGTCAAATGCTGAAATATCTAGTTGAAATAGGAGGGTAATGATGTACAGTGAAAATGAAAAATGGCATCCAAAACTGAATTATATATAAATGTTTAACTTTAGAATAAATACCATAAAAATAACATGTAAGTATAACTTTATTTTTAGGTGCTCCAGTATTATCTCAAGGATTACAGACTGAGCAAGAGCGACAGCTGTGGAATGAGGTAAAGCATTGTCCCTATACATTAGTGGAAACTTTATCTTCTTTGAAATTATCAAATGAAATAAGATAATTGAATTTGGGAACAACTATAATTTTACTAATATTCTGATATCATAACATTCAGAATTATTATTCTTTTGAAATGAAAGAAGGAAAGATGAATAGAAACAAAACAATTATAGTAAATGGTAAAGTGAGATGGCAGAAATAAGCCCTAATAATAATTACAATAATGTGAATGTACCAAAAATACCACCTAAGGACAGAAATTCGCAGATTGGAATTTTTTTTAGAGATCCAACAATATGTTGTCTATGAAAGTCACACTTAAAGGCACCTGGGTGGCTCGGTGGGTTAAAGCCCCTGCCTTCGGCTCAGGTTATGATGTCAGGGTCCTGGGATCAAGCCCCACATCGGGCTCTCTGCTCAGCGGGGAACCTGGCTTCCCCCTCTCTCTGCCTGCCTCTCTGCCGACTTGTGACCTCTCTCTCTGTCAAATAAATAAATAAAATCTTAAAAAAAAAAAAGTCACACTTAAAAAAGAAAAAAAGGCCAAGCAAAAAGTATGGAAAAGGACATACCAAGCAAATATGAATTGCAAGAAAATTGGAGTATCAGTCTTAACATCTGATAAAATAAAATCCAGATAAACAAACCATCTTAGCAAAGAGGGACCTTATTTTATGATTTTAGTAAATTATGCTCAGTATCTCAGTATGTGCAGATCTTAAATTATATTCAGTGTCTTATGCTGATAAAAGAACAGCAAGGTAAAAGATACAGCCATTATTAATATGTATTTTTAAAAACTCAAAATTTACTTAATATCTAATAGAACTTCAGGGGAGAATAGATCAGTGAACATTTGTAGTTAGAGATTTTAATACACCTGTTCAAAACTGATGTTAAAACAAATGACATCGATAGATATAACAAAGATATAACCATACAATTAATAAGTTTAATCTATTTGAAATATTTTTTAAAACCTACACTAAATAGTATATACATTCTTTTGGGGCATAATTGGAACATTAAACAAAAAGATGCCATGTGTTAGGGCACAAAGAAAATTTCCGCAAGTTAAAAAGGAACCATTTTAAACGTTTTCCAGCCATAATGCAATAAAATTAGAAATTAACAACACAAGTATAACTTCAGTATCCCATCTGTTTGGAAAATAAGTAACGTTTTGGTAAATAATCCCAGGCTAAAGAGGAAATTACAAAATAGTTAGAATTAAATGACATAAAAAATTCTAAGTCAAAATTTGGGGGTGCCTGGCTGGCTCGGTCAGTAGAGCACGCGACTCTTAATCTCAGGGTTGTGAGTTCAAGCCCCATGTGGGGTGTAGTTGGACTAGAAATGCCTGAGAGTAAATGCTCCCACCCCTGAGAATACCCCTCAATTGCTAACCCAAGGGAGTTGGTAGATAAATACCTCAGCTGCCTCTTCCCTCTGTTGGGATAACAGATGTGCTCTGCATTGGCTCCTAGAGTTCCCCAGACAGACTGATCCCAGTTAGGCATGGTGGTAATCCCCTCGATAACATATACTTTATGGAATTCCTTCTCTTCCCTGTTTATCTTCTTCGCTATTCCACTAGTGCTTCTGGGATCATCTCCCTAATAACCTACTCATATCCATATCACTATCTCAAGGTCTGTTTCTGAGAAAACCCTAACTAAGGCAGAAATGCACAACTTGGGGCACCTGGGTGGCTCAGTGGGTTAAAGCCTCTGCCTTCGGCTCAGGTCATGGTCCCAGTGTCCTGGGATCGAGCCCCACATTGGGCTCTGTGCTCTGCAGGGAGCCTGCTTCCACCTCTCTCTCTATCTGTCTGCCTCTCTGCCTACTTGTGATCTCTGTCTGTCAAATAAATAAATAAAATCTTTGAAAAAAAAAAAGAAATGCACAACTTACAATAAAAGTACCATTAAAAATCAGAGGGAAAACCACAGATTGCTTGGCAAGTGAAGGTGAAAAACTGGCTCGCTATATGGAGAGAAATAAAACTAACACCCCACGACCATTTTGTAATGTATAAAATAACAAATCACTATGTTGCGCCCCTGAAATTAATACATTGTATGCCAATTATCCTTCAATTAAAAAAACTAAGGGGGCTCCAAGTGGATTAAAGATCTAAATATAAAGGGTAAATTATAAGAATTAATAGAATCTATCTTTTTTATTAGGACAGTATCTTCGTGAACTAGGAGCAGGGAATGACTTCTAAAACAAAATTGCAAATATAAATCATGAGGCCAAAAAGATGATGGATTGAATTACATTAAAAGTAAAGATTTCTTTCAAAAGGACTACATTTAGAAAGTAAGAGCTTTTGAAAGATGTTGGCTGTGTCTCCACACTGAGTGGAGAGCCTGACATGGGGCTTGATCTCAGGACCTCTTGATCATGACCATCAAATACATAAAATGGGTAGTAAGTGCCAACTGCTACACAATCTCTAATAGCAAAAAAGCTCATAAAGTCTGTTATAAGGTTCTCTGCCTTGATATATCAAAATACATGCCAGAGGTATATAAACAAGAAGAATAATTTAGATAACAGAGATTAATGTATAATTCAGAAACATTTATTTTAGCTGGAAACCATATTTCTGTGGAAAATTTTTGAAATTAGATTTTAGATGATAAAGCTGGGAAAAAACTAGAATTGTAAAACCCTATAAATTCTTTTACAGGAAGAGATATTTAAAGAAATTAAGACACTAAAAGATGTGCTTTTCCACTGGAGGTTTTAAAAATGACTGAGCTATCCACACACTAGAAACACGTCCTTTTCCAACCTTGTATGGAGACCTAACCATTTTCAAACAAATTCATCAACAGACTCTACAGAGTTCTCAAAAGCAATTAGTGGCTCTTAAACCCATTAGGGCCACAAGCCCAGTAAAATGAACCAATGCTTATCCAAACGGAAAGTGGGTGAGCAGTGTTGCTGTGCCTTTCAAAGAAAAAAGAACAAAGACTGAAGAGCTTTGCAATTATCTCCTATTTTGATTAATTGGTGTTTTTTCTTATTCTGATATTTTTCTCCAAACAATACTGATGCACTGATTAGTTAGCCCTTAGGTTCAAGGGTCCGCTGTTCTTGGACAGGGCCACCTTACCTCGGCACGCAGCCTGGTCTGCAGGTGGACAACTTTGCCTTTAAGTATGTGGTATCTTCAGATACCAAAGTACCACAAAAACCTTGCAAGAGGGATTGGTTCCTCCGACCCTGCTGACGCAAACTAAGTAACATTTAAGGGTGATATATTAAAGCACTGGTCATAATTCAAGGCTTTAGAAAGGTATCTTTTTGCCTTTCGCTCTCAATTGACTTTATTTTCTTTCTACAAGTTCAATGCTACTTAAAGAATATTTATTGAGCACTTATTCCGGACACGTTGGATATGCCATATCCTGTGTGTGTATGTGTGTGTGTGTCTTTATAGTTGTGACTCTGGATTTGCATGGCATGGAAGAGGGGCAGGTGGGTGGGCACAAGGGATGAGAGGAATTAAAAAAAATTTCCCTGGGACTACTGGGTGGCTCAGGTGTTAAGTGTCTGCCTTAGGCTCGGGTCATGATCGCAGGGTCCTGGGATAGAGCCCCACGTGCAGGTCAGGCTCTCTGCTCGGCAAAAAGCCTGCCCCTCTCCCACTCCCCCTGCTTGTGTTCCCTCTCACTGTGTCTCTCTCTGTCAAATAAATAAATAAATAAATAAAATCTTTTTAAAAATTCCCTAAATATTTGTGATATATGGAGAACATGACAGGCTCTGTGAGGATAAAAAGGAAAGAGACATTAAGACTTTGGTCTTCTAGGGACGCCTGGGTGGCTCAGTTGGTTAAGCAGCTGCCTTCAGCTCAGGTCATGATCCCAGCGTCCTGGGATCGAGTCCCACATCGGGCTCCTTGCTCATCGGGGAGCCTGCTTCTCCCTCTGCCTCTGCCTGCCATTCTGTCTACCTGTGCTTGCTCTCTCTCCCTCTCTCTCTCTGACAAATAAATAAATAAAATCTTTAAAAAAAAAAAAGACTTTGGTCTTCTATAATATTGTATACCTTCCTTATTCTCTAGATTAGAGAATCAGATGTTAGAGTACATGTTCATCTTGGAAGCAATAGGAGCATGAGGAATTATGGCCAAAGAGTATGATTATCCCCTCTTCTGTGTAGTATAAGAATGGAAATGAAATTAACCTGATCAACAAAGAATTCCAAGATGTTATGCCATAAACAGGACTCCAGTTACATTATCCAAGACAGACAAGAAATCAGTACCATTTTTTCCAGTCCCATTTTAAAAGGCCACTGAAGAAATAAATGCCATAAACTACTCCAGACATCCAGCTTTAGTGCTAAACTTCGCAGCACAGTTCTTTAATGATTAATATAAATCTCTTATACTACAGTTTAAAGTCTTTCAATTTTTCTCTTTAGGACAAAAACTGAAAACAGCTGTCAACTGTAGTTCACTAAACCTTATTTTTTTAATCTGTAAAGATTTCTTTATTTCAACCACAGCAGCTAATATTCCCTACTTCTAACTACAGCCATGACAAAAATACAATAGTATTTTGTTGTATTGCCACCTCCTTTTTCATAAAGATGATTTGATATCACGTTTTATATATAGAATTCAAAATGTTCCTTAGTACTACAAAACACAGGTGATTCCCCGAACATCTATTTCATGGTAACGTACATCAGTGTTAATCAGTCAGCCACAAACAGTATCTCCATTTAGATTTTCATCATATGGTGTGTATTATATTGTTGTTAATCTTCAAAGGAAAATTAGATATGCACAAATCCCACTGAATGAAGAAGGCTGTCATGTTATCTTTGCTTCAGCCACAATAGTCCACATGATTTCATACACCCACGAGAAGTACAGGTATTTCATAAAGTGATTGGACAGTAGAAATACATTAAAATTTGCTAGTTACAAATGCCAAATAGGGTCAGTATGAAAAAACATGTTGTCATTAATTATGCTTTTCCAAAAATCCATCCCCTTTACCTTTTAAAGCAGACTAGCAAATATGTTATCTACACATTTAACTCATATTCCCTATAGTAAATATTCTGACTTAAACTAATGTCTGAAAAGAGTGATTGACTGACTTCTATTGTTAACTGTGACATTTATTGACATTTGATGTTCCATGAAATACTTCTCTAAATTTTTTCTATCTGTAAAGTTATTTTCCTTTAGGCACTCCCTCGTGTTTTCTTTTCTTTTTTTTTTTTTTTTTTAAGATTTTATTTATTTATTTGACAGAGAGAGATCACAAGTAGAGAGGCAGGCGGGGGGGGGGGGGGGGAGCAGGCTCCCTGCTGAGCAGAGAGAGCCCAATGTGGGCTGGATCCCAGGACCCTGAGATCATCACTTGAGCCCAAGGCAGAGGCTTTAACCCACTGAGCCACCCGGGTGCCCCTCCCTCGTGTTTTCTAAGGTGTATTTTTTTAAAAACAAAGGTCTTTGCTCTTTCATTACATTTCTAGAGTTTGAATCTAGTGTGACTTCGGGGACACTGAGTAATGACTGAATTTCAGTTAAAGGCTTTGCCACTTTCTTTACATGTTACGGTTTCTCTCCTCTGTGAGATCTATGATGGTGAGTAAGTCGTGAGTTCCAGCAAGAGGCTTGCCACAAATCTTTGTGTTTGCACGGTTTCTCCTCAGTTTGAACTCCGTGTTGTGAATAAGGGTTGAGAAGTCCTTAAAGATTTTACCATGTCCTTTACACTAATAAGGCTTCTCTCTAATTCCATGATACTGAATGAGGTTTCACCACTGATCAAAGGGCTTCCAGATTCTTTATATTTGTAAAGTTTCACTCCAGTATAAATTCTCTGGTAATGACTCAGGGATTAGCATTGTTTAAAGGCTTGCCGCATTCTTTAACTGACACTCAAGACTTACTCAACAGCAAAGAATTCAGAAATCTATAAACTTGATAAATGTGGGATGATGCTTAACCATCCGTCAGTGCTCAACAACTATCAGAGTATCAATCACGAGGAAGAACTTCACCTGTGTAGCAAACTGAGACAGGCTTTACAGAGGAGTCAAACATAAAAAACTACCACAGCCCATAGGGGAAGGGAAGGAAAAATAAAATAAGGTGAATCAGAGAAGGAGACGAACCATAAGAGACTCTTAACCCTAGGAAACAAACTGAGGGTTGCTGGAGGGGCGGCGGGTGGGGGATGGGACAGCTGGATGATGGACGTTAAGGAACATTAAGGAGGGCACTTGAATAATGAGCACTGGGTGTTGTATGCAACTGATGGATCATTGAGTTCTACCTCTGAAATAATATAGTATATATTAATTAATTGAATTTAAATAAAAATTTTTTTAAAAACTACCAGAGGCTTTATAACGCAGAGAGAATAGATCAATACAGTGGGTCTGAGGAAAAGTTTAAGCAAGGCTCAAATGCTGATATACGTCTGAGGACTCACTTTCCAGAGAACCATTATAAATGTAGTAAACGTGCGAAAGTCTTTCCTGAAAGCTCAGAACTTATAATACATGAGAGTATCCGTTTTGGAGAGAAACCTTATAAATGTAATGAATGTAGGGAAAACTTTCAGCCAGTCCTCCAAACTTGCTGAACATCAGAGAATTCAGGTTGGAAAAGCCCATATAGATGTAATAAATCTGGGAAAGTCTTTGGTCAGTGGTTACGTCTAAGTAGACGGAAGACACAGCCCGAACTGGAGGAAAACTTACAAAAGTGAAGAGTGTGGCAAAATCTTTACTGATTCCGTAGTAAACCACTGAACTCCAACCCTTTCCTAATGCTGGCTCCTTGCTAGAGAACTGGTAGCTGTTGTGTAGAGTTTTTTCTGTGTATTATTTATCAATTAGCACTTATGCTATTATCATGTTAATTAATTTATTTTTTAAAGATTTTTTATTTTTTATTTATTTGACAGAGAGAGAGAGAGAGAGAGAGATCACAAGTAGGCAGAGAGGCAGGCAGAGGGAGAGGAGGAAGCAGGCTCCCTGCTGAGCAGAGAGCCAGGACCCTGGGACCACAACCCAAGCAAGTTAAGGCAGAGGCTTTAACCAACTGAGCTACCCAGGCGCCCCTTATCATGTTAATTTAGATAGTGTGATCGGATTTACATAATAAAGAACCACAGGATCACAGGATGCTTCTTAATTTTGAGGCCATTCTTTCTATTTCCAAGCTGTAACTGGCATTTCTCTTTTCCACAGATAGATGACGCTTGTTCGGCCTGGCTGTCCCTTGATTCTCAGCCTCAGGTAATTCCCATTGGAGGTGTTTTTGTAGCGACATAAGTAGATGTCACTCCATTTCTCCCTCTGGACCTGTCATTACTTTATGGACTCATTTAAACATGTCAACACTTTAGAAATCCTTACATCATCGCCAGGTAATAATCAGTTCTGTGACTTTATGTTGTGAGGTCATCCCGGGGCCTTTCTCTCTAAGGGAAATAGATTTACAGATAATATGCACATATTTTGGAAATGAAAATGCTAATTTCAAAAATTCTGCGTTAGGTTAAAAATAACGTATCTGTTGTTGCATTTGGAGGCTAATATCCTCTCCCTCAACTGAGTGTGAAACCCACAGAGAGAGAAACATGGAGTCAGACTTACGGAGGTCGAAGTGTCACTGTAACAGCGAAGTCACTTTTCCAAGGTGGCCTTAGATCTGATACCAAGTGTGTTTGCTAAAACTACTCCCAGAATTGAAACTGGGCTTGGAGGGTGATTCGAGGCCTCCGGGCCAGTCAGGTTTCCAGGCACAGGGTAGAGACCCAACAAGAACACCAGCCAGAGAGCGGCTCCCGAGGAGGAAAGGGCTGAAGGGAGCATGCCCACTTTCCTCCTCCCAGTCAACCATCAGTGCTCCCGCCTCTTCCACAGGCAAGAGTTCAGAGATGGTGGGGAAGTGAGGAGTGTTTGTATAGCTCGTGTACGTGGAAGCATGAGGCGTTGACAGTAAGCGTGCCTTCTCCACACCATCTCGATGGGGTGCGCTGCTTTCTGTCCGCTGCTCTACTCCCTAGTGTGGGTGCAGCAGAGTTAGCCTCAGTGTGCTGCCTTTGTTCATCAGGATCACTAGTTCCCTGGCCGGAGAGGCGGGCTCAGCCTCTTTCAGACCAATCAGTGGCGTGCTTGCGGCCTAGCTACTAACTGCGAAGCCCCCACGTAAACCCTCTGTGGTCTGGCTAAGGTGCCATGCTATGCCAAGGTCACGTCGTCCTTCCAGAGTGTCATCATGGCCGAGGTGGAGAAGCAGCCTCGTGCAGTGCTATATTCCTCCTGCCTTGACTCATCCCCCGGTCTGCAGGCGAGCTCATGGCATTAGATGGAAAAAGCAAGACCAGGATCACAATAGATGACATTTATGAATAATATTTCAAGGTGCTGGAGGAGCACTAACAGCTTATAACATAGGATGGATGTTAATCAGCGTATAATGCAGAAGCATGCATTTAAAAGTCAGGAACACCCTCGGAGTCATCTTATTTCTTCAGTACTAAAAGCATGAATTTAAAAAACACTCATTTAGACCCCATGAAGCCAGACGAAGCTTTTGCTGGATTTGGAGACTGCACCTTTTGAGGAGAGCTTTGGTAAATTTACTATGGAATCATTTACGTTTACTGATACGACTTTTATTTTTTATTTATTTTTTTTAACTTTTTTTTTCTTTTAAAGATTTTATTTGTTTATTTGACAGAGAGAGATCACAAGCAGGCAGAGAGGCAGACAGAGAGACAGAGAGACAGAGGAGGAAGCAGGCTCCCTGCCGAGCAGAGAGTCCGATGTGGGACTCGATCCCAGGACCCTGAGATCATAACCTGAGCGGAAGGTGGAGGCTTAACGCACTGAGCCACTCAGGCGCTCTACTGATACGACTTTTAAGAAAAATCATTACTTTTCACATTAATTATAATTTTATTGTTTGTGTGATTATCTGAACATTCACATACAAAGCATTCACATACAAAGCATTCACATTCAAAACATTTTTACCAAAGAGGAAAGAAAGTATCTTTAAAGTCCACAAATAAAAAATAAAATATTAAAAACAGTATGAGAAAAATCCTTAAAGAATAGTTGTAGCTCAGAGAATCATGGCTTCCTAAGAAGAGTGGGTGGAGAAAATGCAACATGTTTTGAAACCTTTTCTGTCAAACTTCGGTCCTGTCGCCAAGCCTCGTCCGGCTTCTAAGCTGTTCTTAGGAGACACTGAATTTATTCTTCTGTGTGTTAAGAGACACATGACATCACTAGATATTTTCTTTTTATTGTTTTGTGTTTTACAGCATTTCTACATGGGCCATAAAAGGAGGTTTCAGGAATTTGTTTCCAGATTTTTATGGGGTGACTTATGTATCCAACCCGGAGAGGAAAAAGTGGGAAGGAGTGTATCAGTGTTACTCTCTCTCATCCGACCCCCCACCCCCACCCCAGCTATAGGCTTAATGGCCAATGCCAAGGCCACACAGCAAGGTCTGCAGGCCAGACGGCCAAGCCCCCAGGCCACCCAGGACTAACTGCGGGTCATGTGTGGTTCTGATCACGTGACAGTCTCCTAGAACCTCCCTGTCCTCCTTACGCCCGCGTTTTAAGGACGGAATGCGAATTAGGTATATGAAAGTGTTTTGCAATTTGCTGAAGCACTACGAAAATAGGATCCGTTTCATATTATTCCTAAATATCCCCACAACATGCCCGGCAGGCAAACAAATGGAAGAGAGCAAAGCAGACCTCCGAAGCGCTAGGGAGGATGCTGTTCGGGGCTCCACCTGGATCCCTCGCTACAAGCCACGCGGTCACCATGCGCTGTTGTTGCAAGGGCGAGACCGTCGCTGGCCCCGAACAATCCTTTATGGCGTGTCTTCCCAACGAAGAGTAACTGCTGTTGTAAATCCAGCTTTACAGGCCACACATTCTTTACTGCTCTTACTGCTAGCTAATTGCCACGTACCTGGCACCGTGCTGAGAGCTCCGCCTCCACCTAATCCTTCCAAGAACTCTCCGCAGGGATGTTGTCATCCCGGACTGGTGGCTGAAGACCGTGAAGTTTAGAGAGCTTAGATAACCGGCCCAGGGCAACACAGCTGAGGAACAGAGCTGGGATTGCACGGCTCTAGAATTTGAGGCAGCTCAGCTCCGCAGCCCACGTTTTCAACTACTAATTCTACGGCTCCCCGCGCCCCCCGCCCCCAGCACGGTTCCAGCTCCTCCGTACTTCTGCTATGCGTTTATTAAGTAATCAATTGTTCGTGGTGCTAGTGTGCTGAATCCTGTGCAAAGCAGGTTTCGCCCCTGCTTGTCCATTTGTGTTACTCCTCACCACGCCCAGCCGGCGCCTAACCGCAGGGAGCCATGCCCTAATTCTGTGCTCAGATGCTTTGACAAACCTGATCCCGGGGTGTGCAGTCAGCAGCCTGGAAGGGTGGTAACTCAGATTAGGGGCACCGTGTGCGGCTCCCTCCCCTCCCATTGTTCGGGAGCCATTGCAAGATTTTTAAATGAGCCAATAATGAGTAATATTCGGCGAGGCTCACAGATTTGGCATGTACATTCAGATTCTGCTACAAGCCGGGAAGAATAATCCCTCTTTTGGCCCTGTTCTCGTTTCTCTCGGTCATAGAATTTCATGGGGTCTTAGCAAGTGCTGAGAACTATGTATCTGGACCACAGCGGAAGCCCCCATCCACGCCTATGCCCAGCACACAACATTCTCCCCTTCTGGTTGCAAGGAAGGTTTTACTTTTAGGAGTCAAGTGTTTGTCATGAGAGAAACCAAGGGATTCCTACAGAGTTTTAATGGGACACGAGGAGGATTCTCTTCTGGGTATTTGCAATATCCTTGTGCTCCTAACATTCCATAGTTCTCTCTTCTAAGTAAATGATGCAAAAGCAAAAGCCTGGCCTGTGTATCTTCTTGTTTTCTTTAGGCATCCAATGCATTGGAGGAGCTTTGCATCACAATTATGGGAACTCTACCAAAGCCCCAGGTAAGGTTGAAATAGTGTTTTATTTATAGGCAAAATATTGTTCAGTGATACCTTGGAATTCCTTCTGGAAGAAAGTATGCCCAATTTCGGGAGCAGTTCGTGAAGAGCTAGAAGAGCCTAAGTTGGTTTTGGATAAGATACAAATAGTTCGGGGCACCTGGATGGCTCAGTGGGTTAAGCTCAGGTCATGATCTCAGGGTCCTGGGATCCAGCCCGGAATCCGAATTGGGCTCTCTGCTCAGTGGGGAGCCTGCTTCCCCCTCTCTCTCTGCCTACCTCTCTGCCTACTGTGATCTCTGTCAAATAAATAAATAAAATCTTAAAAAAAAAAAAAGAAACAAATAGTTCAGCTTCTCAGATATGGGAGAATTTAACGACAATAATAAGGGAGTTTACAGTCATCTATTATAAACAATATTTGATTAATTTCCCATTTATTTTTAAAGATATTATTTATTTATTTGACAGACAGAGATCACAAGTAGGCAGAGAGGCAGGCAGAGAGAGAGAGGAAGGGAAGCAAGCTCCATGCTGAGCAGAGAGCCCAATGCGGGGCTCGATCCCAGGACCCTGAGATCATCACCTGAGCGGAAGGCAGAGGCTTTTACCCACTGAGCCACCCAGGTGCCCTTTCCCATTTATTTAAGAGCAATATATGCTTAACCAGTTTCAGGCTTGTATTTTATATCACATATTTTTAAAGATTAAAAATAATTTTATGTTATAAACTTTATACTACATATATTATAGTATATGATTATAATATACTACATAATATAATATAGTATTTTATATATTATAATCTTATAATACGTTATATATAAGATGATATTTATTGCTCTCTTTTTTCAATAGGAAACAGATGAAAAAGATAATACCAAAAGGGTAAGGTGATTTCTGTAAACACATACACTAAAAAATAATAAAAGAAGTCGGTAACCATTTATAGTAAATCTCACTTTTTTTTCCAACAGTTCTTATTTCATTATTCAAAGACACAGAAGCTGGGCAATTCAAATGTTGTGGTAGGTTGTAGAATTACTTCTTATTAGTAATTGCTAGTATTTTTTTAAATCTGTTTTTGCAGTTTATCTAATAGAGCTAAATCAAAATTCATGTTTTTCCCTTTAAGAGTTTGTATGTGAATAAACAAATGTAATTCAATCTTTATTACACATTTCATTTATTTTATATCTTACTAACTACATGTACATTAAGTTTTTTCATTCACTCAACAATTATTTACTGAGTATCTATTCTGTGCCAAGCACAAGTCTAGGTACTAGAAATGTAGCAATAAAATTAGAAAATTAAAAAAGAAATCCCTCCTGTTATGAACTTTACATTCTAGATGCAAAAAAAGGGCACAAATGATTAAGTAAAACCTATTGTTTTAGAACTCAATTAGTACAAGGAAAAACAAGATTTAACCAAAATCATTTTAAGAATGACTTTAAATGATGATTGCCAAGAATGTCATTAAATATAACTAGAAATATCCAGTACTATTCCTCAGCTCTCCTTATTTTGTAATTAGGCTTTTAATGTGAGAATTTACTAAGATTAGCCAGATACCAGTAACGTGAATTCAGTTCACTCCCAAATTGTGTGGTTTTAGTGGTAGTTTTTCTTTTTATACAGATGAATGTTTAAAAAGCTATTTTGGTGTTTCAATCTGAAATGCTTAGTAATTATTCAACCATAATATTCCTTCTATGCTTGTGATTCACTGCCATGGACCAATTTTGGGAATGAGGAGCACAGTGAATTTTAAACATAGGTGTACCTCTGAAAAGGTAACTGTAATATAAACTCAGTTTCAAATGTTTGTCATATTGAATATTCTTATGTATAAGGAGTTGAATGGTAGGTTGAACTGGTTAACAAATCACTGTTAGATAGGGCTTAAAGTAATCCATATGACAAATAAATTTAATATTTGTGAGAAGGTTCAATCCAAGCCATGCCTTTAAAATGAAACTGTATCGGGTAATCCCATGTCTCAAATAATACTTTCATTTCCTTCTGCTTGACATCTTTACATTTTGAGAAAATGTATTTTAGTCCCATTTTTCACGATCAATGACACCTTTGTCACTTTTGTGTCCCCTGTTGTCTTGTTCCATATGTTCAGTTTTAAATACAAAATAACTTTTGTGAAGGAGGTTCCCAGATGCGCGTACACGATAATCTTCCAGACAAAACATTTTCATAGCAGAAAACTGATTCTCAGAGTTGGTTCCATCGGTCCAAACCATTTTGCATAAGTCTGGAAGCATCTCAGAGATGCTGGCGGGTGATTTACTTGCCGGAAGCTGATGACGGAGCTGAGGCCCTAAGGAAAGCATTTCTCCAGCCTGATGACGAGGATCCTAGCACAGACCCTACCACATTTCATTCAATCTCTTGGCTTATTCTCCGCATTCTTTGAAGCGTTCTCAAAGAGCTACATCACATAACATCTTTCTTGTTCTTTTTTGTCTGGAGCAAGTAGAGTGGGGTAAAAGCAAAACCAAAACCAAACAAATAGGAAACCATCTTTATGCCCAATGCTGAGAAGCTTTCGTGCTCATCATGTGTGTGTGTTCGTGTCTCTCAGTCATCTGTCGTCCATCCGCTGCTGCAGCTTGTTCCTCAACTGCATGAGAGAAGAATGAAGAGGTTCAGACAGGACGTACGTAACACAAACTGCATGCTTGCTTCGTCACTCTCTGTGGGGCCCTGAATTCCCAGTTGTGGTGATGTAGAAGACACTCTCTCAGGACAAGCCTAATATAAGTGTTTTCGCTTATATTGGAGGATATAAGTGAGGAAGTGTTTTCACTCAGGAGGAAGAGAATCGCTCCTGCCCCCCTTAGTATTTCCCCTTGGATTCAAGCTGAGGGAAATGAGGGAAGCTGGGGTTACACGCTCTTCCAAGGGCCATGACCCTCCCGGTGAGGAAACTTTTCTTGGTTCAAGGAAAGGACACAACAGCGTGCCTAGTACTTAGGTTGGAACAGGAGAAAAGGTGAAGGACCATTTGCCGCTCCTCAGTGTACAGGTTGGCTGTTGGCTAGGATGGGAAGCTTTCTACCCAAATACTAAAATGTTGGGAAGAGTAAGGCTTGTGAAGGAAATAGATCAGAAACTAAATGCAGGCATCTTTAATTTTCACAATTAAACAGAAATATGGCCTCAATCCAGTATCTGTGTTTAAGAGGAATACAACTGAGTTTTAACATGTTTTAACTAGAGATTGTGGAGTTTTTATTGTCATTTTAAAAGAATTTTTAACTCTCATTGATGAAAGTTTCTAGGTATTACTTTTAAGTAATGCCTCACATTGTTGTAATGCATTTTAGTTTTAAGTCTTACGTTATCTCAGTTTATTCTTTTGGCAATTCTGTTAGTACTTATGCAAGTATTGCTATCCCCAGTTTACTAAAAGGGAAACAACTCAGAATAAAGGTGTTTCCCAAGATCATGCTAGTAAGTGAGATTAGAGATTACAGCAGAGTTTTTTGACTTCTTGTCTAGGCAAATTTTTTTTCACTATGCTCTCTTTATTGTCTAATCTTGGATTCTTCTATTATTTCTTTAAATGATTTTAAGTGATCTCTACACCCAACATGGGGCTTGAACTTACAACTCCAAAATCAATAGTTGCACTTTCCACTGACTTAGCCAGCCAGGCGCCCCCACATACTTCTATTACTTTGTTGTTAGATTTTCCCTTAATTTAAGTACCATGTTAATTTTATTCTTACAATACTACCAACAAACGGTCTTCAAATACCTTTAAAAATGCATACAGTCTAGGCAAATAAATTCATCAAAAATTTATTTTTATGGTCACTATTTCCTTCCTAAATTCTTCACATTCTTAAACTAAGCTTCCGTCAAGGAAGACAATATCTACTGCCAACTTGAATAAGAAATGTAAGAGGAACTGTAATAGCCTCTTAAAAAAAAAAAATCAAATCGTAGTCAACAAACTTCCTAGAAATAATATATGCCTTTTTGAATTAACTTTTACTTTCTGTACACTTTGCTTGACTGATGAATAGTGTAAGATTTCAATTTAAAGATGCAGTTTCTTAAAACACACCAACCAATGACTTGTTTATTATATCACTTCGCTGTCGTTATTTACCAGATCTAAACACTCAGTATTGTGGCCACTTGGTACTTTGTCTAAATGTTCCACCTTGAGCAAGATTGTATTTCCAGAAAAATAGCTGAATATGTAACCTCTGACTTAGCAGTATGACCTGATGGACAAATAACTCCTAAAAGTATTTTGCAACAAGCCAAGTTTCATAGGAACCGATGAAAGAAAAGAATGTAAGACATGAATAAAAAAAATTACAGTAGAGTGTAAGCTTTGTTGGGCCTAAGTCTCCTAATTTTAAAACAGATTTTTGATAGTGAAATGTTTTGTGTTCTTAAGGAAAATGAGTTTTCAGATTTTGGGCATCCAAACACTTTTCTTAAACGTTCTTTGCTAGACGTCCTCACTTCCGTCCCGACAACTTTTTTATCTCTACTTCCTAAATTTTTTCTCCAATAAGATTATACAGACCTATATGTTTGGGCTTGAAAGTTTTAAAATTTGGCACTCTTTAAGTTACATTTTCCTTGTCTTTTTTTTCCTGTTTAATGTAACATACGTAACTTTTCTTATACAAGCATATAAATATATAGTTTCTATGTGTGCATTTTAAAATATTAAGTAATTTGGGGGAGTTTGTAGTCAGGATGAGAATTAGGTACAAAATATTGAGAATTTAAAATACATTTCTTGTAAAACAAGGATTTCAAAGGTTTTTTTTTCAAGTTTTTAATTTATTTACATAATCTCTACACTCAATGTGGGCCTCGAACTCATAACCCTGAGATCAAGTCACATGCTCTTCCGACTGAACCAACCAGGCACCCCAAATTAATATGGGATTTCAGAATTTTAATAGATGTCAGAGCCATTTCTTAGAATTTAAAATTTGATTTTACTTACAGAATAATTTCAAAAGGACTTGATAACATATTTCATAGTGATTGCCATCCTTCCTGATGCTGCTATAAGAAGAAGTTGTTGAAATAGGAAGCTATGAGAACCCATTTTATGGAAACCATAAAACGTTAAATCTTTTCCATTGTTTAAAATGAAATGCTTTAAGAAAAGAAGCAACTTCAAAATAACACCCATTATGAAAAACTGGTGTGTTCTTACTTGTTTTTTTTTTCTTATCATTTCTGTGAATATGATTATACTGGGAAAATCTACTAATCTACTAAAATCTACTAATAAATAAATAAATCTAATTTATTCAAGTCTCCTTGAATAAATATCGTTTACCAAAGTTGTCCTTCAATTTCAATTTCAATTCCTATGGAAACATAGTGTATTTTAGGTCTGACACAATTCTATTTTACATTTTTCCCTGATCATGTGTTAGCACATACAATATGTATTTTAAGGAAACTATTTCGTTTTAACGAAATGCTGAGAGGAGGTTTTAAAATAATTATCTATGAACTTTCATCTCTCATTCTACTAACTGATGAATACACATGCAACTGACAAACTTCCTAGAAGCTGTTATGTTGATAAGGAAATTATTTTATTATTTTATTTTAAAAAAATTTTAAGTGAACTCTACACCCAACATGGGGCTCGAACTCGTGACCCTGAGATCAAGAGTTGCATGCTCTACCAACTGAGTCAGCCAGCTGCCCCTAGGAAATTATTTTAAAATACAACATTCTGGTGATATTGCTAAGTGAAAGTTCCTCAGGTATACATTTAAAGATTACTTATTGATAGGAATTTTATACTCAAGTCCTTGATTCCGTCCTCGTTTAATTATGGTAGTTGAAAATAACTTGGAGCTTCACTAAGAATTCACTAAGAATTTGCACTTATTTTTACTGTTAGTTTTGATTTGTAATGCCCTCCTTTTCTCTTCCAGGAAGAATTCCAAGGTCCTATTGCAAGCCAAGTTCGAAGACAGTTTTTGTTCAGGGTATGCAAATACCATATTTTTTTAAAAAATCACGCAACATTTAAATTGAAAAAAATACCCTGACTACGCACTTATTTACATTAAGTTTTTAAGTTTGTTTATAGATATTTGATATCAGGTGCTCTAGTCTTGAGATTCACTTCTTCCCCCACCATATTGTTTTAATTTTATGGTAGCTCTGATCTTTTCTCTAATCCACTCATGTTTGTAAACACCCCAAGTGACATTCAGATATTAAATAGTTTATTTCTATCAAATTTCATGTGCAGCAAGTGAGTGTCTTAAAGATGCATTACTCCTTAAGTTCCAAGGAATCATTTACCGAATATTTGATTCAGGAGACTAGAACAGTTATGACTATTTTCAGAAGTTTTTAAAAGTGAAAGAATCAACTATACTAGAGGCTATAAGTCAACAAAACTTTGTAATTGCATTTAATATTTTGCTTGTCCAAATTGTGTAAGAAATGTGAGTTTTTTTCTAAGCAGCTTTACTTTCTAAAATGTTTGTATCCTTACTACATTATCAGAGATTTTTTTATTCATTCACTTAGCAATTTTTTTTTAAATTTCTACTGGGTGCTGGGCAATGTTGCAAAGATTAGAAGCATACAGATAGGATTCCATTCTTATGCTTTAAGAGTTTACAGCCTAATACAGGAAACTGATAAACAAATACAAAATACTATGCTAAATGCACCTTCAATCCAGGCAGTTGGTTTCTGGAAGAAAGGTGTTTAACCCAGGCCGGAATGTGGAGGAGGTACAGAGAAGGCTTTAAGAGCTGAATTTGAAGAATCAACAGGAATTAGCCAGTGAAATAGTTAACTAAGGAATTTCAACTTTAGTGTTGGGCTAGGAAGAGCCATGCAGTAAGATTGGCATTTTAGAAACTAATTTTAACAACAATTTGGAGAATGGATGGAAGGGAGAGCAAAACTAGATAAAAGAAGATATAATAATTCCCATAGAAATCATTAGGTTGATTTGTATGAAAGTTAACTTCATTCCTTAGTTACACTGATTTATTTTTTATTTATTCTTTTCTAGCCACGCAATGGAAGAAGATCAGAAGGTTACAGTTAAAATGGTATGTACTTCCCAATTCAACCCAGTTTGAAAATTTCTGTCATTTTCAGATATTCACAAATTAAACCATGCTCAGTATATTTCTATTACTTGACTGCATGGGTGCATTAATATTCTATATACATACTGTTGTTATAGGGGCAGTGGGGGCTTTATATGATGGAAAATGTCAGTATTTTAGGACCAGATTTGCTTTGCCCATGTTGTGTGTTCCTTGGACTATGTCACAGTAGTCCTGTTGGGTTTTGTAGACATTGACCTTATCATCATTTATTCCACAGGTAAGATGTCAAGGATTGTGTTCTTATTGTAGTAATCAGTGTCCACAATAATGGGCCAGAACTTACAAGCTGAATGCATTTCTGTCTTCCAAGTGACCTGTATTCAAAGATTCTTTAGAAAAGTTGTGATTTACCACTTCTAGAGAACTAAGACAATGTGGAAAGACATGAGAACATGACTTCTACCTCAGAACTCACAGAATTTCCACATCAGAGCTGGAGATAGAGGAGATATATGGGTGGTCCTACATATTTAATAAATGTGTTAATCCTAATATCTTACTAGGTTGTAAATTTTGAAATTAGACCCAAATTCAGATTGATAAATTTATACCACACAAATAAAAGTATATTCTGTTAACCTCATGTAGTCTTAATGTAGATTCTGTACTTAACATACTTTTGCATATATTTTTTCATATCACTATCTCAACCCTTAAATACATAGTTAGCTTAAGAATGTTAAAATTCTTAGTATTTTCTCATAGAAACAAATATCAAAATGAACTATTTCTAACTAATGAAGATAATACCAAAATTATACAATATCCAGAAAACAAAGAGATAATAAAAACACTGCATGTTAAAACTTACAGGATTCTGCCAAAGGCATATTCAGTGAAAAATTCAATGCTTTAAATGCTCTCAAACAAGAAAGAATGAGTGAATTAAGGTTTTAGTTCCAAAAAAAAAAAACCAAAAAAAAAAAACAGGGTGAACCTCAAGACAGCAAAAGGAAGAAAATTATAAAATGAAAAATGAAATTAAAAAATTACCAAATAGTTAAAAAGAAAAATTGGTAAAGCAAAATCTAATTATTTGCAAAAAATAAAATAAAATAACCTAATTAGCTTAATCTAATAACCTAATAACCTAATCAAGAAAAACCCTAATAACCTAATCAAGAAAAAAAAGAGAAGCCATAAATGTACAAATATACAAATGAAAGTAAGGAAATTGAAACATATAGAATAAATGGAAATCACAAAACAGTACTTTACAAATCTCTATGACTATCAGTTTGAAAACCTGAATAAAATGGAGGATTGTCTAATAAAGTAAGTACTACCAAAACTGATGTCAGAAGAAAGAAAAAAAGAATACCTCTGAACAGACTAATGGGCATGGGAAAAAAGTTGAAAACGTTATCTAAAAACTTCCCCCTCCAAAGTACTAGACCAATAGATTTTGAATTTTTATAGCTCAGAGATGGAAGAAAATATCAAAATATTTTTACGAAGCCAGAAAATACTACTATCAAAACCTTATAAAAATAATATCAAAAAAAGGAAAACTGGAAGTCAATCCTATTTATAAATATCAACATAAAAATGTTAAAGAAATATTAGTAAGTTGTATTCGGCCGTATTTTTAAAAATTTTTTAAATTATGTGACTCCATAAAAGTGAAGTTTGTTCCAACAACTCAGGATGGTTCAACATTAGGAGGTCTATTAAAATATTTTCACCATTAGAAGAAAAATTATTTAATCATTTCAAAATTCCACATCAATGTCTGATGTTTTAAGAGAATATCTTTTTTTTTTTAAGAATTTATTTATTTATTTGACAGAGATCACAAGTAGGTGGAAAGGTGGGGGTGGGGAGCAGGCTCCCTGCTAAGCAGAGAGCCTGATTTGGGGCTCCATCCCAGGACTGTGAGATCATGACCTGAGCCGAAGGCAGAGGCTTTAACCCACTGAGCCACCCAGGTGCCCCAAGAGAATATCTTATAGAAAGAGATGAATCTTTATTAACATTGTTTATGTAATGGTCTCAAAGTAAGTAACAACTTTTTTGTTTGTTTGTTTTTAAGGATTTTATTTATTTATATGCCAGACAGAGATCACAAGTAGGTAGAGAGGCAGGCAGAGAGAGGGGGAAGCAGGCTCCCTGCTGAGCAGAGAGCCCTATTCGGGGCTCGATTCCAGGACCCTAGGATCATGACCAGAGCTGAAGGCAGAGGCTTTAACCTGCTGAGCCACCCAGGCACCCATCAGTAACAGTTTTGATAGTAAAACACTTTGGAGAATTTCTGTTAATGTCAGGAGCAAAGTGAGAGTACTCCCTCACCTTTGTTTTAATGTGGTTCTTATACATTGGCCAATTCAGTTAGATAAGAAATGAAAGAGCCAAATATACTGAAAATGTGAAGAAAAAATTTAGTGTGCTCTAGAACCTAATTAGGAACTTGAATTTTCAGACTATATTTGGCATTAATTTGTTTCAGCAACGAGCTGTTCACATCAGAAACATGCGCAAATATATCCTTAATTCTTTTCTTTTTTTTAAGGAACTAAGAACAAAAGGATAATGGAAAAGTGGCTATCTTTTATAATATTACAAATGTAGAGACATTTACAAAGTACACACAAAAACGTTTAATATTAAATGGAAAAAATGTCTGTGCTCGTAATACCAAACCAAGTGGTAGAGTGCTCACAGATATGAAATAGAATTTAATCCGTGATTTGGTTAATTTAGGAAAACTTCTTTCTGAGGAAAATAGCTTGATTTGGATTGTTTTCAAGATTAGGGCTTACATGGACTAACTCACTTAAGATTTCGTTTTATTTTGTTAATAGCAAAATAGTTCAGTAATCATTTTTTCTTTGTTTTTCTCATCTGATTGTCTGAGGTTTTACTCTGTCCTGGGGACTTATGTTTACTTAGAAAATGGTTAGACATAACATAGAGTGATTTAATTGCAAAACCAAAGGAAATAAATACATGAGGAATAACTGCAACTTTTGAAATATTTTATTCATAAATCTTATTGGCATCAATGAACTTTAGAAAACCACTTTTATATAGTAATATATATGTATATATATATATAAATACTGTAAAATTTTGGAAAATACAGACATATAGAATAAGTGGTCTATCAGAGAGAGATTGATAGCTAAAAATATACTAAATGAAGAATAGCTGAGATATCTCTCTTATGTCAATTTTATCAGACCTGAAGAAATATTTTAGAAATGTCTATATGCTAACATTACATACATACACCTTCACATACTTATACTTGACTTTAAATTTAATTTTTCTTTTTATACAGGATACCAACTATTTTTCGCAGAAGCAGTACCAGAGAATGCAAAATGTTGACATTTTGTTTTCTTCTCAGAAAAACTGCTTGCTAAACTTACCATGTGTGAGAATCCCTGTGTTGTAAACATTCTCAATAAAAGTTGGTTGAGAGTATAAATGTTTAACTTGTCAACAATTTTAAAAGCATCCTAAAATAGTTTTTCTTTTAAATCTGTTTTTTTTTTTTTTTAGATTTTATTTATTTATTTGACAGAGAGAAAGCGAGAGATCACAAGCAGGCAGACAGAGAGAGGGGGAAGCAGGCTCCCTGCCGAGCAGAGAGCCCAAAGCGGGGCTGGATCCCAGGACCCTGAGATCACGACCTGAGCTGAAGGCAGAGGCTTAACCCACTGAGCCACCCAGGTGCCCCCAAATAGTTTTTCTTATGTAATAAACCTCTAAATAATGATGTTCCTTAGATCCTTGCAGTTTTTGACAACACAGTTGACCCTTAAACAACATGGGTTTGAACTGCAAGATCAAATTATACATGGACTTAAAAAAAAATTTTTTTTTAAAGATTTTATTTTGGAGTAGAGAGAGTGCGCATGCACAAGCAGGGGGAGGACTTGAGGGAGGGAGAGATAGTATCCCAAGCAGACTCCCTACTTAGCTGGGAGCATAACTTGGGGCTTGATCCCACGACCCTGAGATCATAACCTGAGCCGGAACCAAGAGTTGAAGGAACCTTCAACTGACTGAGCCATCCAGTTACCCCTATTTCCTATTACTATTTTGTTGGTAACATTTTCTTCTCTCTAGCTTACTTTATTGTAAAAATACAGCATGCAGTACATATAACATAAAAAATTTGTGCTCATCGACTATGTTATTAGTAAGGGTTCTGGTCAACAGTAGGCTATTAGCAGTTAAGTTTGGGGGATTTTCTCCAGGGGGTCCTTCCAACTCCTGTGTGGTTCAGGGTCAACTGCACCGACATACGTGTTCTTTTGTTATTTTTGTTAAAGACACTCAGAAGAGAGTTGAGTTTTAATGAACTATTTTAGTTCATCCTGTTTGGATTCCATCAGTGACAAAATCACCAGCTCTTATAAATACCTTAGTGTCCAGTAGCTAACTATCTTAGAATGTGACTAGCAACTGAACCTACACTAGTTGGAGAATTTGGCCATGATCCATCCAAATAGTCCAATAAGCAAGTTCTGATTTATCTATTATAAAAGAGATATCTGAGTGCTACAAATGTATCAAGAGAGTTAGCTTTTTCTACCAACTGGTAGTGTTCAATTTATCTTAAAATTAGTCATTTCACCCTGCAACATCTGAAAGACAACCAGTCTTGTCCATTACCAGAAAGAAAATCTCTCTAGCAGAGGATCATGAACACACCTGGAAAACTTTTTACATCAAATCAGTGTTTATTGGACACAGAACTAACTTCAGATGGATGCTGAGATTATCTGCCTTCAGGTTCCCCTGGATTTTTCCCTTCTGACCCCCCTCTTGGATAACCTCCTCTACCACCAAGCAGGCTGCCTGATTAGAGGAGGTTGGCTCTAGAGTGGATAGGATTGTCTTAAATTCTTCAGGGTAGAGGACCTCACAAAGCTTTATCTTACTAATGCTGACCAATAATTACAGCTTAAATTATGCCTTTTACTAACAAAGTCCCTGAATTTCACTTCTTGTCAACCTGTGCGAAGAATGTAAGGAAAGAAGGAAGAAGAATACAAAAAATTTTAAAAATGAATTGTTTTGAAAGATGGGGACTTGAGAGGATCGAGGTCTCCTGCTCTAAAGCCACAAATATATAGAGCAACATTAGCTGGTGCTACACACAGTAGTAATTCAACTAGCTTGGATTTTGGATTGTCAAAATAAAAAGGAGTCACATATTAATTTAAGCAGTAGTTCCCAGAGCCTCTTAAAAATACAGAGAGACTTAGGTCATTTACATTTTTCAGAGATCCCAGGATATTAAAAAAAAAACAAGAAAAAAGAAAAAAAAGGAAGCAAAAAAATACCAAAATATGGTTACAAAAATTGTGGGATGTTTTAAAATATTTTATATTTAACAAATTAATATTTAATATACAAACACAACAAAATATATAGGCTACCAGGAGTACAGGATTTGTATTACATATTAAATGGGCACTACACATGAAGAGGTCTAATACTGAACCCAAGTTTAAAAAAACATTTTTTGATTCTTTGCTAAATCCTATCAGTATACCCCTGTGACCATGTATATAACCTTATTTGGTGATAATATCAAATGTTTTCCTCACATTCCTGGCAGCTCCCAGTAAACATCCTTTCCTTAACCCAACCACCAAGGAACCGGACTGTCTAGGTTTCCTACCTAAAGCCAGAGCTCCTGTCTTCGAAGGCAGTGGGTTTTTAAGATGGCGGCGGCAAACCATTTGAGAATCTGATGAAATCTCTGGTCCTAAACCCCCAATCCCTCCCTCCTTCCCCAACCAACAAATGTACATATAAAACAAAATTATGTACAATTGGGGCTGTAGGCTAGGGATCCCCTAAAATGCATCCAAATATAGGCTATGGGCTCCAGGTTAAGAAGCCTTCCTCTGGAAGGTTCTCTCCCCAGGATTTTGTTATTTCTCTGTGAAGACGGTGCTCAGGGGTTGAAGGGTGCCAGAGGCTCAGAAACAACTTGGTGATTTGGTGGTGGCGGAAGGAAGGGTGGGAAGAGTACAAGCACCAGCACAGGACTGCGAACAGGTGAGATACCACTTAGGAGAGATGCCCCCTAACTGGCGCTTCGGTACGCACAGCTAAACCCCAGCTCCCGCCTCCACGTTGCCTGGCAACAGAGCTGCGCAAGCGCACGTGCGTGCGTAGGAGGTCCTTGTTCTCCCCCCCGCCCCCTCCCCTTGGGCGGTGGAAACCGCTAGGCTTGCGGTCCCGCTCGCCTCCACCTTGAAGGAGACTTCGGTGTGAGTCAGGAGTTCGTCGCCAGGGGCAGGACGACGCCGGCACGCAAGGGGCAAAGGGGAACACCATGCAGGTGGGCACCCAGGGGAGTCACCGGCTGGGCCTCCAGTGAGCACCAGGGCGGGGGGTGGGGGGCGGTTCACAACGGGTGGGTTCTAACATTTGTTCTAACATTTGTTCTGGTACGAGCTAAAGTTTGCGTGCGTCTCAGTCGAGGTTTCAGGTCAGTTCAGTCAGTTCCGTCAAGTCCGAACTGACTCCAGGAGAACGCCATTTTTCAGCGCTCAAGACAGGTTTGTCTGTGGGGCGAAGCATTCGGAGTTGTTGGGGGTTGTTGTGTTTCACACCCGAGTCCATGGAGCTCAACTGCTGGACTGTTTCTGACTTGAGAACTAGACCAGCAACTTCAGCCTCCGTGTGACGCAGTGTAAGTCCTCTGCTCCCGTGCCTTATAACAAGATCCTAACGGAAACCCAGCAGCCGCATTGTCTTGAGAGAGACCAACTGTCCGTGGAGTTTCTCAGTTTCTCCTACCTGATTGCGAAAGCTCTGTTAGGCTTCCCTGTGTTCCTCAGAAGGAGGCTCCTCTGTGTAAAGCTTCCTTATTAATCGGAAGCCTGTGTCTTCGTTTCTTCTTTTACCAGGACAAAAGTTCCACTTGGTGACTTTCGGAAACAGCTTCTTCCCACCTGCTCCCCAGATGAAAACCACTGTGATTTTTCTTGTTTTACATTTACTGGCATATACTGCATAATTAACTAGGATATTTTGAATATGTTACATATAATTTTTTTAAGATTTTATTTATTTATTTGACAGAGAGAGATCACAAGTAGGCAGAGAGGCAGGCAGAGAGAGAGGGGGAAGCAGGCTCCCTGCTGAGCAGAGAGCCTGATGTGGGGCTCCATCCCAGGACCCTGAAACCATGACCTGAGCCATCCAGGAGCCCCAGTTAATATAATTTTTAATGGATTGTCCTTTGGTCTTAATAATAGATTCCTAGCAAGTACATTTTGTCCAGTCTGTAAAAAGTTGCAAATTTGTCTGTATTTATACCTCTCTTCAAGAAATAGGCCACATATGATTGAGAGTGAAGTTAATAGCCCATTAGCTTTTGTTCGTTTATTCATTGATTTATTCAGCAGTCAGTAATTCAGTGTTTATGTTTAGTTTTGGACTTATTCTGAAAGAGTTTACTGTGAGGGAATAAGAGGGAAACAGATGTAACTATTTGCCATAATAGTTTTAACAAATAGATTGTGGTACCTATTTCTATTGGATAAAATTTCATAGATAATTTCTAAAAGTGAAGGAAAGAATAGACTCGGGAGCCTTTACTGTTAAATTCCATTGCACTGAACTCCTAGATCAGTTAAGGAAGAGCAGAGAAGGTATAAATAAAACCATAAGAAAGTGGTATCATGAGTATCAAGAAAGGTCATTTTAACAAGAAAGGAATGACAGTGTCTCTCCAGTTCTGCTTAAGAGATCAAATACAGTGAATATCCATTGAAATGAACAACATGGAGCTTGTAGGTGATTAGGTAGAGCACTTTTGAAAGAATTGGAAGCAAACTTGGGAGTGGATTGAAGAGTTAATGGGATATGGGAGTGGTTACAGCTTATGTAGACAATTGTTTCAAGAAGTTTAACTGCGAAGGATGAAGGAGAAGATGGTAGGGGATGTCAGGTGCAGAAGGAGTTTTTTTAAAAAGGTAGTGCTGGAATTTCTGATGATAATGAGCTACTCTTCTGTGCATACAAGTAAAAATGGGGGCTAGCATGTAAAACATATTTCCTTTAAAGCGTCAAAGAGATGATATGATAGTAAGAAACTAGGAGACAAAAACTGAAGGGAAATTGGAAAACCAGGTAAATGGATTTCCACAGTTCCAAAGCCACTTTTACCATGAAGGCATTAGCAGTCTGTGTGTTGATCGTGGGTATAATCACAGGGTGAGAAGGAGGCAAAGGAGTATGGACCACCAAAGAGTGGAAGACTAACTAATAGGAATAGGAACAAGAGATAAACTCATGTATAGGAGAACTCAGAGAAGGTTGTCTTGATGCTTAGTGGAAAGGGGAGAAAAAGAAAAGAAATAATACCTGTCCCCAAGAAGTTGTGGCCCATGGCAGCTCTCACACAGATTACAACCTAAGGCA